ACGAGGGGTCAGGTAACTTTGGGTGCTTGATTTAGAAAAAGTTCTTTGCCTTTCCTGTATTGTTTACTAATTGCATTAAAGTTCCTTTTCATTAAAAGTCTCATATGTTTTGTGTTGATGCGGCGGATGGCAGAACCTATTTAGAGCAGGCAGGTTTGCGTGGTCTGGGCTGCCCCTCTCCCTGCCCTATAACACAAGCATGCAGGCCTCTCTCAGCAAACCTGTCCCTTCTGGGGCAGCTCTTCCTGCCCGCTGTGTCTTTGTTAGTGTCTTTTACTCTTCCATCCCTTTCCCTAATAAACCTGCCCTTTAAATACAACCAATGTCTCTGTCTCCTGGAGAAACTCACCTGGGAAACTTGCCGCGTGTCACTGAAACGGGAGCTCTGGTGAAAACTTTCCCAGGGTGAACCCAAAGACCCTGTACTCCAAACCCACAGACTCCAAAAATCCCATCAAATGGATAAACTAAACATGGCCTATATAAATAACGAACTACTATTCTGCCTTAAAAAGGGATGAAATTTTGGCACATGCTACAACATGGAGGGCTTTGAAGAGATTAAGTGAAATAGAGCCTCCCTGGTGGCCCAGGGGTTAAAGTCTCAGTGCTATCAAGCTATTGCCAGCCACTGCAGACCGAGTTCCATTAGCTGGCCAGCCAGGAAGCTGACCCACACGGTGCAGCAGACCTCTTCTGTCTCCCCGGCTGCTCCCCTCAGCAGTGTATTTCAGTGGATCTACCTGTTCTGCTCCCCACTCTTTCTCTGGTGAATCCTTTCACCCCCTGCACCTCGGCCTACCCAGTTCTTGTATGCATAAATAAAAATAAATCTTTAAAAAAGAGAGAAATTAAGTGAAATAAACCAGTCATAGAGGGACAAGTTCTCTAAGATTCCACTTCTGTGAAACACCTAGAGTGAGCAAGTAGAGCAGAAAGTAAAACAGAGGTCACCAGGGCCTCAGAAAGGGGACAATGGGGAATTATTATTTAATGAGTAGAATTTTGGGTGTAGGCTGGGGATGGCTACAAACACTGTGAATACATTTACTACCAATGAATTACATACTTGAATGTCTAAAATTATCAATATTACACTATGGATACACTATGGATACACCAAAACAAATTAGACAGACATGGAACATGGAAACTAGAGGTCATCATTCAAGAAGGAACCCTTTTGTCAGTACCCATGAGGTGCTGCTGCAGGTGAGGCCTCACACCATAGGAGCTTTTGAAGTCCTCAGGAAGACAAGGGATCTCATTGATTTCCAACACATATCATTTTTTAATAAGATTTTATTTATTTATTTATTTATGCATTTAAGAACTGGGGAGCAGGGTCAGAGGTGTGGGGAGTGAGAGGATTCACCAGGGACAGAGTGGGGAGCACAGTAGGCAGGTCTACTGAAATACTTTCCAAGGGGGAGTGGCGGGTGAGACAGGAGAGGTCTGCTATGTCATATGTGATTTATCTCTCTGGCTGGGGATAGAATTCAGGCCATCGCGGTGGGCCTTTGAGGTGGAAGTACTGAAACAACCCCTAGGCCACCAGGGAGGCCCAGTAGTTAACATTTGTAGGAAGAAAGAGCCGTGATTCCCCCTGCAGCTGTGAATGTCCACCACGTGCAGGCGCGTGCGTCTGACGGTCAGGCTGTCATCTGGTGAGACATGACCCAGAACCCACAGGCTGCATCTCAGCTGTGTTTGGACATCAAGGGACCATGGAGTCCAGCACAAACCCTGAACTCACATGCTGTCCTTAGGGCCCAGCTGTTCCCCCACAGGTGAGATTAGGGTACAGGTGCTATTGCCTGGCTTGGCTGTCATGCCCTCCCCACCACTTCATGAGATTCATTCATCGGGCTTGATCCTGCGTTCCCTCTTACTGCTGTTCCTTTCACTGAAGCTTGAAATCAGAGACAGGCTAGTGAGGCGCTTAAGGGGCCCCATTCCCAGGTCTCTCTTGGTTTCAGTGGACTCTCTATGGGTCCCTTTCCTCCTCAGTCCCATTCTACTCCTCTTTAGGAGACCCGTAGCAGGGACACTGGCTCTCACTAACACACATGCACACACACACACACACACAAAGCGTGTCTGTTTGAAAATCAAAACCATTGCTAAGAGAAATACCCCTGATACAGAGCTTTGCTCTGTGGGCAACATGGCCAAGCTAGGAGGATGGGCACAGGAAGGAGAAGGCTCATCTAGACTTGTTTCCAAGTTTTTGAAGTTCCAAGACTGGTGGGCTGAGGCAGAAGAAGCCCCAATTCCAAGTCAGCCTGCTCTGACACTCAGGAGGGTGTTAGAACCACAGGCCGGGTGGGCTGGAGGAGGTGGCCCAGAGTGGTGTTCAGTCAGAGCAGAACACGGGTGGACATCTGTGCCTCTGTCAGGTTAGTGCCCCGTCCTCCTTCTGTGGCTAACAGCACCCAAGTTCCCTTTAGTGAGGCCCATACCTGATCTCATTCCAGATACATATTCCAGGTGGAGCTGACCTTACTTTCCACTCTAGGAAGGGCCACACTCAGCTCTGGCAGGTAAAATGACAGTGCTCAGATCAGAACAGGCACAAATCCCAATCTGGCCAGTGTGGGATCTCCTGGGGCTTTCGCTGAAAGATTGCGAGAGGCTTTTTTTTTTTTTTTTTTTTTTTATACAAACCTGTGTGTCAAGGACTGACTTTCAATAGAACACAGCGAGGGAGGAAGAGACTCCCTTTTTCTTGGCCTTGCTCGGATGTGGTCCTCATGCATCACTTTCCCAGGCGGTTCAAGCCCTTTTCCCTGACTGGGTCAGGGCACCACTTCTTAGCACCATGTCACATTCCTCAGCCCTGTGTCACCTCCCCCCAACCCCGTCCTGTGCCAACTCTGAAGCCCCAGCTCATCTCCCAGCACCCAGCAGCTGTAATCTCCTAGGCCTCTTGTCTCATTCTGCTAGGACCCTTTACAGAACTTGCAGGGCTTAGTGCAAAATGAAAATGTGGGGTGCCATATTCAAGTGTTATGAAGCATCTCAAAGTGGCAACATAAGGGCCTCCCTGGTGACACAGGGGTTAAGTCTCAGCACTATGAAGCTATCTGCAGCCACTGCAGCAAGGCACAATTCGATCCCTGGCCAGCCAGGGAGCTAACCCACCTGGTGCAGCAGACCTTTCCTGACTCGCCCGCTGCTCCCCTCAGCAGTGTATTTCAGTCAATTCGCCTGTTCTGTTCCCCACTCTGTCTCTGATGAATCCACTCATCCCTCTACACCTCTGGCCTATACCCCAGTTCTTGTATGCGTAAAAAAATCTTTAAAAAAAAAAGTGGCAACATAGGACATTAACCCAAGCGTGGTCCCCCGGCTTGGTGCCCCTCCACACTGCACAGTGCAGCTGAGGTACAGCTTGGACTTGAGGGCCATGGCCACAGGTCCCTGCACTCCTCTGCGCCCGCTCTGTTCCGGACCTTGCTTGCCAGGCCCCACTGCCCGCACGATGTATCCTTTGCTGGCAAGGCTTCGCTTCTCTGCTGGTCCCATTTCCCAGCACTGAGCTTTGCTGGTTCTGGAGTGGAGCTTGCTTGGTGTCCTCGGACCTCCACGGACTTAGAACTGTTGGTTCCCATTCCAGTGTTGATGAGGGAGGGGCATGATCAGAACTGGAAGTCCACAAGTGGATTTTTAAAAATATACCCTCTATACCAAACATTTCAATTGTAATCAACAGAAATCAACACTAGCTCACTTAAGCCAAAAGGGGACTTATTGGAGGTCTCTCCAGTAACTATTCAATTCAGGAGGGCAGGAGACACCAGCTCAGAAAATAGGCAGGAATAAGGTAACCTATACAGTCCTGAGTGCCCTGAAGATCAGTAGGATGGAGGCCGTCCCAGACTCCAGGCAACCTGTGCCACTCCTTCCCTCCAACTGGTTTGCACCTCACCTGTATTGCACCCCTACTGCGCAGCACCCAAGCCCAGGTCTCTGCCTGCTTGTGAGAATCAAACCCTGCTCTAGTGTTTCATTTTAATTTTTACCATGAGTGCAATTACTATACAAAAGCAGCATTTCCTTTCCAGATCGCAAGGAACTTAGGTGGGTTGTGACACTGTTGGCATGACACCTGCCTCTCTTCTTCTTTTTTTTTTTTTTAAGATTTATTTTTATACAAGAACCGGGGTACAGGCCAGATGTACGGGAGAGTGAGAGGATTCACCAGAGACAGAGCGGGGAACAGAACAGGCAGACTGACGAAATATGTTGCTGAGGGGAGCAGCGGGGAGCCAGGAGAGGTCTGCTTCACCATGTGGCCAGCGGGATTGAAACCACGCTTCAGAGGCTGCGGACAGCTTCACAGTGCGGCGCTTAACCATCTGCGCCACCAGGGAGGCTCCTGGCTCTCTTCTTCCTTCAGGCTCCTATGAGGAGAGTTGGGAGAACACCCAAAACAGACACCTTGGTGCTTGAGAGGGGACACCAAGGAACAAGTCGACTCTGGGACTGTGTAGTTTCAGTCAGAATAAGGTTTGGCTTCAAGAGAGAAAACAACTCAATTTCAGCTCAAACCATGTGGACAATGAACTTTCTTACACCGTGGAGTACAGCTGGCCTGTCTAGGCTGGTGTGGCAGCTCTACAGTTTTCGGGGCCCAAGTCCCTGTCCCTTCTGCCCCCACTACCCTTGACATTTGGTGCCCACTTAGTGGTGGAGTCCTAACCCTCATTCCACTTTCCACTTGGAGAAGGAAAAGAGGAGGGCGTGTCTCTCCTCACACACAGCCACCCCCTGGAGGCAGGTACATGCAACTGCAGAGGAGCTGGAAAGGGACTCCCTTCTGGCAGTCAGGCGTCCAGCTCAAGAGCTGGGTCACTACTCCCAAGGTAGAAGTGGGAAGTGTGCAGGAGGTGGCGGCAGTCGTTGCTGTGTTGTGCTTGAGGGTTCTCTAACAGGGTGCTCAGTCATCCATCCTTATAAAACAGATGACCATTAAGACAGCAAATGTTCACTGGACACCTGCTGACTGTCCTCCAGTGGCCCTGTTCCTAGCAGAGGACAGCCACAAGCTGAGTGGGAACACAAACAGGACTTGAGTACACTGGAAGCAGATGATGATACCAGTGGAATGGACCAGTCCAATTGCCTCTGTCACAGCCTTCATGTGTTCCTTGATTAATTTAACTGACAAACGTTGCCAGCACTGGAATAAATCAGAACACAGAGATCTAGTCCCTGTCCTGTGGAGCTTCAGTCTCTTAGGAAAAAGGGTTAAAAATAATGACCTCCTCTGACCAAGGACATTTAATCAAGTCCTAACCCTATTGTAAATCACAGGGAATACAGAGGACAAGGGGACAGAGGGTGTATGGTGTACAAAGGATACAAGGGTACAAGGGAGAGCGACACCAGGAAGAAGCAATTAAGCAAGTCACAACACAGGACAGACCGTAAGATGACTTGCTTGCACCGTTCAAAACAAAAATCATTGTAAGGGGGGAAAAAGGCATTTTTTAGACTAAAAGGCTGAAGACACCAGATGTAAAATGCCAACCTTGAGGGAATGCCCCAAATTGGGGGGGGGGGAGTTCTAAATGGTATTTTGAACAGTTGGGGGCATTTGAATCAATGATGCAATGGAATTACTGTCCCTTTTCTTAGGTGATCACGGAAATAAGTTTATGTAAGAGGACATTCTTATTTTTCCAAGAGGCATGTTGAAGTATTTAGGGATGAAGTGTCTATTTGCAACATGCTTCCTAAAGTTGGCAACAACAAAGGAGTGTATACAAAAATACAGATATGTACAAGAGGGGGAATATTTATGTACAATTGCAATGTTCTCTTTAGTTCTGTAGGGCTGGTAGTAATTCCCCTATTTTCATTTGTGACCTCAGTTGTGTTTTTTCTCCTTAGTCAATCTGAGTTTTGTTCATGGATGCTTTTCAAAGAAACTTTTGCTCCCATTGATTCTTTAACCTTTTCCTAGACTCTGTGGGCCCTAATCTTAATTACTTTCTTATGCTAATTTTGGATTTATTTTTCTAGTTTTTGGAGGTGTAGTTACATTATTAGAGCCCTCCTTTTTTAAACATAAACGCTTACAGCTATAAATATACCTCTGGACACTCTCCCATGCATCTCAAAATTTTAGGTGTCTTGTTTTAATCTGTGTCAAAATATCTAATTTGTGATTTTGTTCTTTGAGTTTTTAGTTGTTCATTTCCACAGCTTTCCCACTTCACTCTACTGTGGTCAGAGGTTTTTGATGATTCCCAGCTTTTCCATTTTTTGAGACCTGTTTTGTGATCTGAGGTGTACTATCTTGGAGACTGTTCATGTGCTCTTGAGAAGAACATTCTGCTGCTCTTGGGTGAGGTGTTGAAGTCTAGTTGGCTTTTAAATCATGACACATCATTACAGAAAACCCATCATGCCTCTACTTGCCCTTGAGGGTCAGACTGTCATAATCTTCACTTGTCACAAATGTGTACGTGTTCCATCGCCACAGGTAGGGCTGTAATAATTGTGTGGATTCTTCATAATTTTGTTATATATGTAAGTTCTGTTTAAAAATGCATTTGGCATTGAGCTTTGTAAGAATGACATTACACTGAGTCTTTGGGATGTCAGGGCTCTCGTCCCTGTTCTACAGCTGTGATATTCCTGATGTCACCCTGTCCCTTATCCATCCTTCTATGGGAGGGACTATTGAGTACCTTGTAGGTTTAGGCTCATATCCAGCTTCTGATTTCCCCGTTCCACCTGGGAGCACATGCTGAGGGTACATTGATGTCCTGCCAGACCACAGACAGCACCCCTTTATGCTGGCCCTCCCCCTCCAGGTCGACCTGTCCACCACAGGCTGAGTGGGCTGTGAAGAACTCAGCTGGAGTCTGTCTATCTCCACCCTCCCCACATCTGGGCTGGGCTTCTGGATAAACTAGGCCTACAGCAAGGTACTGCACACTGTGCTGCTCCTAAGCCAGAAAAGCTGGAAACACAGGATTCTGAGAGAGACAAGGTGACCCACAACTGGAGTCCCAAATGGGCAACTCAGAGCCATGTGTCCCTCCCCTAAGGCAGGTTTCCCTTGCCCTCTCCTGCAGGGTTCCTAAGCCTCTTTGAACTGGGAGGGGGGGAGGGGCGTCCTCCCAGGGGCAGAGCCTACATTCTGGCCCCAGAAATGTCCATGAATGTGACGTGGTGGCAAATGTGTCTCCTGGCCCTGGCAACAATTCACAAAATAGCTTTCTAGCTGATGCCAATTTGGAAAATTCCAGGGACAAGGAAACTCACAAGGGGCGGGGATAGCCGGGCCTTGGCTGGGAACAGTTGCCCCTCCCAGGTCGGAGCGTGGGCGGATCACGAAGGAGGAACGCGCCAGGCCCACCACGAGGGAGTCCTTTAATAGAGATGGGCACAGACAGGGGACACGACCCGGGCCCTGAGCCAAGGATGCGGTGGCTCCCTCCCCCACCTGGCCTGGCCCCAGAGTGAAGCCGGGAGGAGATTTTAAAAAACACAGCGGCTAACTGTTCACTCTCACGGAAACAGGGAACCACCCGGGAGAGCAGCCCGCTGGAGAATTCGTACATGGAAATAGCGCCGCCCCCACACTGTCAGCCCCCCTCCTGCCCAGTGACTCGGGGGCAGGTCCAGAGGACTGGCAGCCCTACAGCTCTGGGTGTTTCTACACCATGTACATCCTTGTGCTTTAGCGTCCCCTCTCAGCCTCTGCCCGGAGACGGGGTGGGAAGTGACCTCCACCACCACCAACTACGCCGGGGCTGGGCGATTTCCAGGTCAGTACAGAGCCAGCCCCACTCTTGCTGGCTCTGCAGGTCCCAGAGGAATCAAAACACAAGGGTTAACGTTGAACATGAAGCAGGCCAGTAGGTACAGGCAGGGGCAGAGGGTGGCAGAGGATGCAAATGTTCGTGGAGGCACCACGGAGGGGCAGGACATGGATGAGGTGAGCCAGGACAGGGTGATGCTGGGCACGGATAGGCGTGGACAGGGGGCGGGGCTGGGCATCTCATCATTTGTTCTGCAGCAGTGAGCTTGGTGGGGGTGCGGGCTGCTGCAAGGTCCCTCCCAACAGTGGGTTGCTTTCAGGGACCAGGAGGTGGAGGCCCAGGGCCTGGCTCCAGGCGTGCATGAAGGGAGGGTGCAGGGAGGGCAGCCAGTGTCAGATGGGGTTGGGTGTGGGGGGCAGGGCGCGGTGACATCTGTGGCTTCTCCCTGCCAGGAGGGTCAACAGGATCAGTTGTTCTCAAAGAGGGACAGCAGGTCATCATTGTTGTTTGTAGGGAGGTCGGGCGGGCCCAGGTAGGACAGCAACTCATCGGGGTTGGTCAGCTCTGGAAGCAGCTGAGGACAAAGTAAACTTATCAGGAGCTCTGGCCTCAAACCCACAAGCCCCCAGGCCCAGCAGGGCTATGACGCAACCTCCACCCCACCCCATTCACACACAGGCCTGAACAGGTGAACTCAGTCTGCACAAAGGCTCTCCCTGAAGAAGGCCGCTGTGTGACTAAGAATCACCCAGGACAAGCTGCCCAAGATCAACAGGGGATGTAGGTAGTTCTGCTGCTCAAGGTGCAGAGCGCACAGGATTGGGAGGGGAACCCCCCACTGGGGACAGGGCAAATGGAGGAGGCAGAATCCTCAGTCCCTAGAATTTTCTTCTTTGAACTGCTCTAATTTTTCTCACATTGCATGTCAGCGAGTTTTGTTTATTAGGGTAGACGGACGGTCACCTCTGTCTCTTATGTGCTGATTTTGGCTCACAAGCCACCTGTGAGTCAGGACAAACCAGACCCCAAGGCTGGTGTCATCAACTTCAAGCCCAGTCTTCTCAAGGGCTATGTCCACGTGGTGAGCAGGTCCCAAGAGCCCACAGCATAGACACAACCACCCCATGCCAGTTGGAACCCGAAACTCAGTAAAGAAAAAGCTGGTGTTATTTGATCAGCTCTCCCTTTGATAGAAGTCACTGAGCTGTCAAGTCTTCTCCCTTCTATGAAGTGTGTGGATCCTGGGGACAAGGGAAAAGTGGCCCCCCACCCAAGCCCCAGGTTCTATGCACACCCCACCTTTGGATCTGGCACTCACATCAAGGGTTGGTTCTGGGGCCTCCCCCCCACCAGACATGGGGGGCCCCATGACGCCTGTGGCAGGGTTGAAGGTCAGCTCGTTGACAGGACTGGAGCTCACTTGGCCCAGGGGCTGCCGTGATGCAGGGGGAGGATTCGGATGGTGCAGTTGGGGCCCTGGGGGGCCTCCAAGGTTAGGAGCGTGCAGCCCTGGCAGCCCAGCATTGTGAGCTGGGTCCAGGTGACCTGATGGTGCCATCTGGGGAAAGAGAGAAGAATCCGGTAAAATAGCCCAGGGAGTCCCTGGGGTGGGGGCTGGGGGTGGGGTGGGGAAGGTTTCCCATTGGTTTGGCACTGACCTGACCGGGGATACAGGGGGCAGACTTCTCTGGCGTCAGAAGGCTGCTAGGAATGTCGGACTGGTAGGAGATGGGGGGTGGTCCAGAGGTGAACTCAGGAAGGGTCGGGGTGCTGGGTGTGGTGGGCAGGAAGGAGTCAGGGAAGGTTCCAGGTCCTAGGAAGCTGGAACCTGAAAGAGGAGAGCCAGGTATTGGGCGAAGCCGATAGGATTCAAGTTGGCAGAGAAGCCGAGAAGGCAGGCTGACTGTGGATGGACACAACTCACAGTGCTCACCCACAGATAACAGGAGCTCTGGCCTCAGACCCACGAGGGTCTGCATCAGTTTTCACAGATGTCGCTACTCGGAAAAGGGCACTTCTCATTGCTGCCAGAGGAACTGGCCTCACAACATTGCTAGGAGGTCTTGAGGGGACAGGAACGGGACCCACCACACCCAGATACCCACATTCAGGGTGGGAGGTGGGTGCAATCCATGGAAGTGTAACAGCAGACAAGCCCTATTCCAAAAAGCTGGGGAGGGTGCGCAGAGCCAGAGACGTGGCCCTGCTGCCATCTGCACTGGCACAGCTGAGCCTGGGCCTCCACTGCCATGTCCCCAATCAGCCACTTGGTCCCAAGGCTGGGCGTCCAGGAGGACAGGCACCACTCAGCACGTTTTGGCTGGATGTTTTAACAATGTGTGGGGCACGCACAGTGTCACTTTCATAGGTAGGAGAGTATTCTGGAGAGGACAGATCATTTGCCCAGTGCCACGACACTTCTGGGCTGGGTCTGCTGTACTCACCCTGACTGGGGTAGTCGCTGGGGGCCGGGGTGGAGGGGGGCTGCAGGGGGGCGAAGGGGGTGACCCCAGGGCCCAGGGCAGCTATCATCTCCATCACGTTGGGCATGAGCACGTGGGCGGGGCTCACAGTGCGGCAGCGCTTCAGCACTGGCCCGTCCGGCTCTTCCTTGACATGCAAGTCAGGCTTCACAGGTACCGGCCTCCAGCTGCATGTGGGGTCGATGGTGATCTCCTCATAGTCTGAGCTGGGTGGGGACACAAGGGGGCTGGTCACCACCTGTCCTGCTGCCTCTCCTGGCCCTCTTGCAAGTTATAGGCAGACCTTCCACTCAAAGGCTCGCAGCCACCCAACATATTGCACGTGCCCTATGGGATGCCGGCCTGGATATGGATTCACCTGTAGCCTGGAATTGAGCCAGCTCTGTGGATGATGAGCTAGGAGCATTTCCCCACCTGTCCTAGGACTTCCCTCTGTTGACCATAGATACTGGAGTGGCAGGAAGAGGAGACTTACTTCTGAATATAAATTAGGATGCCCAGCATGTACTGGTCCACCTCCAGACCCTCCAGCAGAGCTGTCTTGCTGTAGAAAATAAAGGAGACATGGCTCAGAGGCCTTGTCCAGCCTCACTCTGAGCACATACTCTCTTATTTCCATCACCCAGCATGATGCTGCCCAGTGCCAGGTAACCCTTTTTTAAGTGCCCCTGTGTGAGGGGCTGTATGAGGTGACTGCACCAGGTGAATGAGGTCACTCTGCACCTGATCACCTGGGTCGGTGGCAGGATAGGAGTGCTGATCCTACAGGAGATGAATGTATAATGTGACCTATGTGAGGTCTCGACCCTGAGTCACATTATCTTAGTCTGTGCTGAGATCCCCAATACCTGGCTGGTGTATTTCTTGTGGTGTTGGAAGGACATGAGAGTCTCTAAGGAAGTGTCACCTGCTCCAGCACATACCATGAGGAGCGAACGAGACACTCACTTGCATACTGGGCACCTCCAGGTCCCCCGCTCACAGTTGAGCTGTAGGTACGACTCCAGGTCAAAACACTGCAGAGAGATGGGGGAAATACCTTTCCTCAGGCTGTGCAAGGGGGTGGGGGAGCGCGATGCATAGTCTGACCACATCCTGCAATCCAGTCACGTGGTTTCAGGAACATAAGACTTATTTACTTGCATGTGAGTGTGTATCACATGCAAGTATGTATGTATCAGGTTGTCACTGCAGGATCACACTAATAGACAGAGGTTGGGGTAAGCCATACAGCTGCCTGGACCGGAATGCTACTTGGCCAAAGCAGGAATTGGGCAGCTGTGCGGATGAGGAACTATCTCCAGACAATAGTGTTGAAAGAAAAAAGCATAGTGTGGAGTGCACCACAGTGTACAGCAGTAACTTCTTGGGTAACCAAAAAAGGTGGAGGGATGAACACGTGCTGGCCATTGGGCAGAGTGTTTCTGCCAGAGACAGACACTCCAGTGTCACTCCTAGGGCCGTGACTGGAAGAAGACTGCACTGTGCCTCCTCCACGCCTCGAACAAAAGCCCGTGAAAGCAGTCACATGGTGACTATACTGAGAAAAAACAAAAGTTCAGTCTGGGGGGAAGGAGCAGGGAGCCAGGTCACCTGCCCACTGGTTGGTCTGTTTTGCCAATTCTCAGCCAAGGTCCACATCCGCTAAAAACAGTCTAGAGGTGCAAGCTCTGACAAGGCTCTGCAGAGATCACCCACCTGTATGTGGCGGCAGTCATGGCCACGCGCAGGAAGCTGGATCCTGCGGAAGGTGATGGGGCACTTCAGGGACACCTTGATGGCTGTCTGCTCTACCCCATCCTCTCCGTTGGGTCCAGGGGTGCCAGGGATGGTGCCGCTGCTAAAGTTCCGCTTTACTGGTGTCAACAGGGGAAAGGGCCACCAACCAGGGACCCAGTCACTGGTGGCTCCACAGCTCTGAGGGGCAATCTGAGCTGAGCACTGCTGTCCCTCCGCCCCCCACCTTGTGCAGAGGCTCCTTACCCAGAGGACACAGCCTTATGTCTGACACAAGATGGGCCACGTGGAGCAGCGGCCTCAGCAGAGGCACAGGCTGGCTGCCCAGTGGCCAAGGAATGCAAGGGCTACTCACTCTTGGTGATGCAGTGCTCAGCGGGCAGGAGCCGTTTCTTGAGGAGGCCCTGCAGCACGGAGCGGACAGAGGGCCGATGCACCAGCTGCAGCACGAAGAGGTGGGACTGCAATGGGAGGACTTGGTCAGAGAGACATAGGTCACACCAGCTACACTGCTGGGCAGCAGGGCCTGTCCCTCTCAGCAAGGGGGCACTGGCAGCATGTCTGGCTGACTCTCACCTGGAAACACAGGCTTGCCCATGCTAACACCTCCATGTAAAACTCCATGCCCATACAGTATTAGGTACTCAACTACTTGTCCTCTGCTTCTCCATCAAAACCAAGTATCTGAGAAACCTCTGCATGCATCCTGCTTACAGCACCCAACTTTAAGTACATTTTGTCTGAGTTCAGACCTCTCAAGTCCACAGAACATGGCTGGGGCTATACCATCTCAGCTCCCTCACACCCAGGCTGACCAAGGCTGCTTATCTAAATATTTTCTTTTGTAGCCGAAGTCCTGCCTGAATCCTGCTGACTCCTAACAAGGATTCGGGGTCAGCTGGGGACTCGCAAGCTTCCTCAAGGAATGACACAGGGCCAGTTTAGTCTCTCTTATGTAATTAACGTGAGCATCTGACCGAATTACACTGGAAAGCTGCTCAGGCGTATTTGATTGCATCCCTTTTCTGAAAAGGCTGGATTGAATGGAAGCCCCAAGGTGAGCATGAGGAAACACAATGCCTGACCCTATAGGGGGCACTCACACAGCAGCAGGCAGTGACGGTGATCTGGATGGTGTTGCGGCCAGGCTGGCACACGTGCTTCAGGTACAGGGGCTTGTGGGAGGTCTTGTTGTCACCACGCTCGATGGTGAGTGGGGTGGCATTGACGCTGACCTGCACCGAGGCCGGCCAGTTTGTGTTCATCTGCCGGTCCTCGTGGTGATAGCATTTGAACTGCAGCTCCAGGTCAGGCCTGTGTGGGGAGGAGGTACATTGAGAAAGAGGGGGTGGCACCAGGGGTCGGTGGCAGGATAGGAGTGCTCACCTCAGCATCAGGGTCTTATAGACGGAGTCTCGGAGCTGGAAGGCATGGTTGCTCACAGCCAAGTTGTGTTGCAGACGGAAGGGCTCCAGGACCACCCCGTCACGCACAGGGAAGGTCAGTCGCAGCTCGTCACAGGGGCCACTGCCTGGGAGCAGGCCATGCTGGGTGAGCTGGCTACTCGTGCCAGAGCATGAGGACCTCCCAGGCCAGGCTGCCTGCCCCCTACCCCTGTGGCAAGAGGTACTTTGCCCCACCACCAGACACTGCTAGGCAGCCATGAGCCAAGTCATGGGGCTGAGTTTGGGGAGCATCTCTCCTGGGACCCTAGGTTCAGTGTCACCTCCAATAGTAACAGAAACTTTGTATCCCACTGTTCAGTCCTGTCCCACTTGCCCAGCTCTGTCTCTAAATTATGACCAGACACCATGCCCCCAGCCCAGAAAGAAGCACTTCCGGTAAGAGGGCTAGAGGCTGAGGAGGTATGAACGGATCACTTGCCACCTCTCTCACGGTTAGCTTAGGATACCAACCTCTGCCTCATTAGATATTCCCCTGAAATTAGAGATTCTTAACCAGGAGTGGGGTTCAGGGAGCTTATGTATCTCCTGAAACTATATATAGTATTTTCTGTGCGTGCGTATATGTCCTTTGAGAAAATCCACAGCCTTGAATGAATTTGCACGGAGGTCCACGAATAGAAAATAAAGGTGAAAGCCCTTGCCCCTCAGATTTCCTGTGCAAATCTCTGGAGTCTGACCCCCACCCACTTATCTTGAGAGCAGACGACACTCACCGGGGGGTGACGGGTGCAAGGAGCTCACACTGGGCTTGAGGTCAGGCAGGAAGGGAGACTTGACTTCCTGGCTGGTGGACATGTAGGGGACGCTGCTGCTGGGGGTCATGGGCGGCGTGGGGCTCCCCGGCAGTGGGGAGCTGGGGTAGCCAGGGATGGAACGGGTGGGCTGTAGGGTCGAGCACACAGTCAAGGCAGAATGGTGGGGGGGTAGTTTGTCTGTGGAGCACCCACTGGGAAAGGTCAGACAAAAATGGGTAGAGGCAGCCCCAGGAGGGTCCGCCGGGGTGCCCTCTCTCCACGCGTCCATCCCGTAAGCCTCCCTCCCCACTGCCCGTACCCCACTCAGGCCAGGCTGGCTGTAGCCGATGCTCCCCCCGTTGAAGCTGGCGCCCTGCCCGTTGAACTGCTCTGCAGGCTGCGGGAGACAAAACTATATGTGCCTGGGCCTCCGCCTGCCCCCAGCCAGGCCCCTGGACTTGACCGGAGGGGAGGGCTGGGAGCAGGGGGCCCTTCCCCCCCAAACATATGGGCACTGGCCTTTATTTTCTTCTTTGTACACTTTTTGGGTTATCCAAATAACCTCCAGGGAGCATGTACCGATTTCACAATTTTAAAAAGCACTACTACAGAAGTGGCACCACACCTCAGAAGGGCTTACAGGGAAGCAACAGAGAGGCTGAAAAAGAGAGGTGCACACCCCCCACCAGGCTTCTGGTAAGCTGCATTTCCCCCCCAGGTGACCCTGATGGGTCTGTCCCTAGCTGGGCTCTTCTGCAGTCAGCAGAAGGAATGGGGATACTTTCTCATAAAGGACATTTCAGTGGCTTGGGTGTCTGCCCACTGCTCCCTGCACTGATGTTTGTCCACTGAAATCTAGGACCCACAGAGAGGGTCCCCTTTCAGAACCAGCTCCCCCCACCCTTCCTGGAGCTGATGCGGCACTGGGCAGGACCCATGGCTGCCTGGCCTCTCCTAGCACATGCAGGCTGCTCCCCAGCATCCCAGACTGCCGTGGGGTCTATCTGTGTACACGGCACCTGGCACAGAGCCCAGGAGAAGTTGCCCTACCTTGTAATGCAGTGCTGCAGGGTTGGAGGCGGAAAGGGGCTGGCCCACAGCCTGTTGGAGGGGCAGTCTGTGACCAGGGTAGGAGGAAGGGGCAGGGGGCTGCCCAGGGCCAGGTGCATACTGGCCTCCTGGCAGGTACTGCTGTCCTGGATACACCTGAAGGAGGAAAAGAGCAAAGTGCCAGAGGAAGGAACAGGTATCTCTAGGGGCGGCAGCAGTGCCCCCTTGCTGGGCATGGTCAGTTCCTCTCATAACCAGGTGTCCCCTCACAATGGCTAGAGATGGTGCTCAGGGTTAAGGGCAGTCGTACTAAGGTCACACTGGCCCTGACACTCACCTCACTGGAATAGGCTCTCTTGACCCCCTGTCGGGGTAATGGCTGGGCCTGGGGAGGCCCAGGGTACCCATGCTGGGGCAGGCGTTGCCCTGCATACAGGGATGCCATGCCTGCTGCCCGGGTGGGGTTCATGCCCATGGGGTTCATGCCAGAGGAGCTCATCAGCCCTCCTACGCTGGTAGGGTTCATGCTGCTGGGCCCACGGGGTCCTCCATGCTGCAGGAACTGGCTGTTAAAAGACTGTCCAGCCCCCATCTGGGAAGAGAAGAGAGGAGTCACCTACATCCTACCCACTGCTCTGGTGCCAGCTGTGCCTGTCTGTGCCTGTCAAGTCAACCCCCACCCCCAGCCCCTAGAGCCTCGCCCCCTTAGCTCCTCACTCCATCCCCACCCATCCCCCTCTCACCAGTCTCCTCTTTAGCGGCACAGCACATCTCATGTACATTTTGCGTCCTCAGACCCAAGCTGCCTGGTTGGTCCCTGCCTTCTAGACCCCTTGAATGGGAGAAGCTGCTGGGCCTCACCGCTCCGTACTGGCTCAGCTCCTGGCTCTGCTTCTCCTGGAGGGCAGCCACTGTGGCTGTGGCTGTGGCTGTGGCTGTGGCAGCAGCCGCAGCCACAGCAGCAGCTGCCGCTGCTTGAGTAAAATCAGTGGAAGGTCGTGTGGCATGTGAGGGGAGGCCGAGGCCCCCTGGGCCCCCCGCATACCTGCAAGAGAAACAGACTGGCTCAGTTCCTCTGACCATCATTTGAAGGCCAGGCCTACACTAATGGGGGTAGGGGGTAGATTGGGGAAACGCGCACACAGGACCAACAAGAGCCCCATTCTTTTCCATACACTCCTTAACTCATTATGGAAGGCAGAGACACAACCTTCTACAAATCAGTATCACACAGTTGCAAGGTGCCTGCCAAGCTGGAAGCATTACCCCCGGAGGATGCCCAGCATTAACGGCCAGGTGGGGCGTTTCTGCTTACCCAGTGGTGAAGCCAGGGCCCCCAGGGTAGCCCCCACGGCCATACACCCCTTGCTGCACGTAGCCCTTGGGTGTGCCACCTTCACCAAATGCCTGCTGTCCAAGGCACTGTGGAGAGTTCAGGGTGGAGCTGCCACCTGCCATGCCAGGCATTATGGAGGTGCTGGGGGGGCTCCCTGCAGGGCCCATGGGGTTCCCCAAAACCTACAAGGAAGCGAGAATCACCAAAAGTAATCATCCAAGCAGTTTCAAGCACTGGCTTTAAAGTGCTGGGAAGGAGAGGCCTGCTAGGTGAGGGTGACAGAAGGGAGGGGGAGGGAAGAAAATGAGGAGGGGAAAAGACGAGTCTGGCAAGGTGCAGCCATCACAGGTGGGTCTGTGGAGGCCAGGTGAAGATAGGCAGAAAACCCACAACAAGCATGGAAGGAGAATAAATGTCCAAGGATGTGGGGGGCTCAGGAAGCTCTGGTGGCTTGAGGGTGGGGTCAGGTGTGGACTCACTTGGCTCTGGGCTGCGTTGCCGACTCCCCACACGGTTGTGACCACGGACAGCGATCCTGCTGGCTGAGTGGCACTTTGTTGCCAAGGCACTGCCTCGTAAGCGAATGGACCATCACTGCGAGGGGAGATGTTGGTGAGCTCACTTGGAAGGTGGGTATCGGGAGACCACAGGTGCCCATATCACTAGAGACTAAAAGGGAGAGCAACAGGAACCCCAACTCACCTGTGTGGTGCGGGGGGCAGGGCAGGTTTCATGGGGTTCATGGGGTTCATTGGCTTTGAAGTAGCCTAAAGCCCAGGTTGGTGGGTTGTAGGAAGTAGCCTCACTGCTTCTTCTGTGGGGCTTAGCTGCTCTGGCAGTCAGGACAAGAGGGAAAGGATGTCAGCGGAGATAGAACTATGGGACCCTGTTAGCAGGGTGGAAGAAGCAGTAGGCCCCGATCTTCCTTGGCTCCAGTTGAAGAGAGGGCAGCCTGGTATGGGCCCGTCTTGCTGCCCACCCACGCAAACCTCTGCCCTTTCCCCCACCCAGACCCAACCTGGAAGCCAGTATTAGCCCTTTTAGGCCCACGCTCTGCCACCCAGGGCCCCTGGGATGGCTCTGGAAGCAAGTTTTTGGATCCCAAACACCTTCCATACTTCCATACACAAAGGTCTGGATACCCTAAAGCCAGGGGAAGTTGAGGAACCACCCTGAAAAGGCCCATGGTGGAGGACAACACAAGCCAGAGGAGGAGGCTGAGGGGCCAGAAGGGGAGCCAGCAGATGACCCACCCACCCTGAGGCCAGGGCCAGCTAGGTCAGCCACCTCCGCCTGGCCTGGGGGAGGAATGTGTAGTATGTCTGCTGAAGCAGGGTGTGGTACCCTCCCAAAGAGCCCCTCCTCATAGCAGCATGTACTCACTTTTGAACTTGGGGCCAGAGGGACTGCCTGAGACTGTTGGGGGCACAGGGGCCAAGCAGGCAGATCTGACCCCCACAGCGAGTTCCTAACAGAGCAGGAACACACACTGTGAAACAGGTAGAGGGTTGGCAGCCACCTAAGGACACAGCAAGGGGCCAATGGGCGCTTAGCAGCAGTGGCCAGTGGCCTCTTCCTGCTGCAGACCCTCCTCCCATTTAGTAGCTTAGAAAAAAGATGAGGCAGGGGCTGCCATTCCTCCAGGCTGCCAATGCCCTCTGACACCCCTACAAGCAAGCTCTTTACAGATGGGCTCTGATGTCCCCAAGGCCACCTTCCACACCCACTTCTGTCCAGCCTAGCCAGGAGGTACCTGGGTATGGTTCCCAGGGGGCCGCCTGGGGAGGCCCAAGCAAAGAGGCTGGGTACCTTCTTCTAGCTTGTTCTGGAGACAAGCTAATCTATGGGGTTCAATCCTAGCCCCCAGCACCCACAGTGCCTCCTATGTCCTGAGAGAGATGATGGCCCGGCACCAGTCAACTCTAGGGCTCTCATTCCTGAGTGCTGTCCATGAACAAACTTCACTGACACAGTAGCTGCAGGACAAAGGATCATCATCATGTCCTTAGCAAATATAAGGAGAGTGAGTCCCACACTCAGGCCCAGGGCAGTGAGGGACTGTCACTTAGGCCACCGGCATAACATGGACAGGCCTGCCTTTGCAGGGTGTGGTCCTCACTGGCCCTTCCCACCATGGAACACTGAGGTAAATGAGCCCCAGAATTGAAACAGAGCCAGGGCTAGAAGGGCAGTGACCCATCTGGTGAGAGGAAGAGGGAGGCAGTCAGCTGAGTCCCACCTTATACCTGGCCTGACCCCCAACTCCTCACCCCAGGCTCCTCTCCTTCTGTCCCCCAGCCCAGTTCCCACTATTAAGCAGGCCTGGGAGCCAAGATCACCCAGGGGGCAAGGGAAGGCTATGTATGGTCCTCAGTCCCCACTGTCTGACTCAGGATGGTGACACTGGGGCCCCTGAAGGCCCAGAAACTCCTTCCCAGACCTGCTGAGTGGGGCCTGGAGCAACATGCAGGGTTTTTTGTGTGTGTGTGTAGGACCGTCACCAGTGGCCGGGGATCGAACTGGCGCTGCAGAGGCTGCAGGCAGCCTCTGCGCCACCAGGGGAGGCCCTACAACATGGAGGGTTTTAAGGACTTCAAATATGGGTAGGCAATTCCAGACTGTAGTGTTGGTAGAGGGACACACGCACCCAGCAATGGAACAGCCCAGAGAACGAGAGAACCTAAAACAGACCCATGCAAATACACATAGCTGATTTTTGACAAAATCTATGCAATGATGAGCATTTTCAACTAATGGTGCAGGTGCAGCTGGATGTCCACAGGCAAAAGAAAAAAGACCCAATGTCTCATATCGTACAGAAGTTACCAGAAAAAGGGCCACAGATTTAAATGCACAAAACTAGGAACACTTTAGGAAAATACAGAAGAGAATGTCTTCAGGATCTAGGACTACAGATAGAGTTCTTAGATTTGACACCAAACACATGATCCATGAAAGCAAAAACTGAAAACATTTGCTCTGAAAGACTGTATTAAGAGTATGAAAAAAAAAGACAAGCTACAGATTGGGAGAACTTCTACAGACTACATATTCGACAAGTCACTATTATTTACAATACGTAAAAAAATTCTCAAAATTCTCTAACTAAAAAAAATCAAATTAGAAAATGGACAAAAGACATGAAAAGACACCTCACTGAAGAGAATACAGGTGACAAATAAGCACCGGTGACAACATTCAACATCAATGACAATCAGGGATATGCAACTTAAAACCACAACGAGGCATCACTACACACCTATCAGAATGGCTCAAATGAAAAATAAAGACACCTGTGGCTGCTGGCAAGGAAAAATGGTCTCTTGCACACTGTTGGTGGGACTGTGAAATGGTATAGCCGCTCTGGAAAACAGTTTGGCAGTTTCTTGTAAAACTAAGCATGCAGCTATCATATAACCCAGCAACTGCACATTTATCTCAGAGAAATGTAAACTTATGTTCATATAAAAATCTGTACAAAAATGCTTACAGAAGCTTTACTCCTAATAGGCAAAGAATGGAACCCCAGATGACTTTCACTGGTGAAGAGGGAATCAACTGTGGTCCATCCACGACCTGAAGGCATACAAAGAACCAACGGTACAGGCACCCACCTGTAGGCGCTCCAAAGAATTATGCTGCATGGAAAAAGTGCCCAAGAATTACACACTGAATTATTACCACTCTGTAACATTCTTGAAATGCCGAAAATATAGACATGAAAACACAGCAATGGTAGCCAGCGGGTTAAGCTCAGGGGAGGGAAGTGGGTGTGAATGTAAGAAAGCAGGATGGACCTGCGCCTCCACTGTATCCACGCAGTATTCTGGAGTGATGCTGTACTAGTTTTGCAAGATCTTCCCACTAGAGAAACGGGTACAAGATACAACTGTTCTTTCCTTGTTTCCTTACAACTGCACGTGAATCTGTAATTATCTCAAAATAAAAAATTAGTTAAAAAACCACCATCCCACGCTCTCCCCAGACATGACAGTGGCAATTCTTTCCCACCCCAGAGGTTGAGTTGGTCAGGCCCACTTCGTTGTCCCAAAAGCAAAGGGCAGGAAAGAGGCAGGAGTCCAAGGTCGGAGTTCATGGCAGGTGCTGTTCTTTTCAGAACTGCCTCTCCTCTAACTCCAGCACACTGACTCTTGGGGACAAGACTGCTCAGACCCCCCAAGTCAGAAGAACCTGCATTTCTAAGAAGGCACAGGTGATGCTGCTGGTCCAGTACCACAGTTTTAGAGCCTCCAGAGGCAGGGAGGAGGGAGACAGGGCAGGTGCTGGTCTTGAGGCCCAGGGCCACCTCCTGTATCACATGGGCACGGGGAATTCCACCCCCTTACGCCTCTGCCAAGGATGAGACCACAAACATTTCTAGTTCCCTCCAAGCTTACTGCAAGGGGGAGGTGACTTCCTGCTGAGTTCCTGAACTTAAGCTTGCTCTCCTCCCTGGGGACAAGTGTCTCTGAGAGGAACCACTCCAGGTCAGGTATCTCACGGCCTTCTGCTCCTGACAAGGGAGAGGTGTCTTATGAGTGCAGACTCTCCTACCTCAGGTCTCGAACTGTGCTGCCATGCTGTAGCTTTTTACTGGCCAGGAGGGTCTCCCCGTACACTAACTCCAGCTAGAAGCCAGACCCTTGGCATAGCTGCTCTGATGTAAGGTGAGTCTAGAAGGCCACATGGCTTTCTTGGTGTCAGGGTCACATCGTCCTTCAGGGGAAAAAAAGGCTACAGAGAGCTCACTACCCAGACCTCTCCTCCCCCAGAACCTCAAAGTGCCTGCATCTTCGAGTCTCTTGCTTGTCCACCAAAAACAGGTGACATCACTGTGAGTCAATGCTCTTCAGCCTCTACTCTGTCCCACCTGGCTGGTGACCCAGGAAAAGCACACACACCACAAGCCACCTGACCCCAGGAAGGCAGCTCATGCTCCAGGGTCACAGAGCACCTCTGGCAACAGCAGGAAGTCCATGGGTCCAGGGACAGGCCCAACCAGAGAGCAGATGGAATCAGATGGTCTCAAAAACAGAGAAATGATGGTTCAAGTAGGGCAGGAATCAGGACTCAGAGCCAAAAGGAGGACACATGATGGGCCTATGTGTTGAGGTGGCTGGAAGTCCAGCTCCTTCTACCTATAATAAGACTACAATACTGACTACCTGAAGTGCTAGTGCTCATCCAAAAGCCCAGGAATGGGCACTGATAATGGTCCAGGAGTGGGACACCAGGGAATGGCTTTGTTACTCTGGGCCTCAGTTGACAATCTGTGAAATGGGTATGTGGCAGACATCCAAGGACTGAGGAAAGGTAAGGACACTTGACAGCCTTTAAGTTATTAGCCCTGGCCCCTGTCCTGAACACAGATGCTACTGGAAAAACCATGGAGGGGCCTGGTGCCCTTGGAGGTCAAGCCTAATGAATGGGAGTCCTCCCCAAACATATTTTACCTGTTCTTCAGAAGTCTCTTAACCTCTCATTACCATACCTTCCCCTTTCCTGATTTCTTATTTATAGCCTATAACCATCTTTTGGGCATGACAAGCCCCCAAGGTCAGTACCCATTAAGTGAGGTTAAGATTCTCACTTGCCCTGTTTCCCCTCTCCAGCTTCTTTAAGGGAATTCTTCTGGTTATAGCAGGCAGGATTTGGTGGGTGAGTCTTTGTTCACCCTATCTTATCCATCATGGTTTTACAGATCGCATTAAGGTTCTGTTTAAGTCCCAGTGAAATCTTCTGCGATAATACAAATGACTTATAGACATCACCATGGATGATCTGCAACTACTGGAAAGAAGGTATGGGTGGGGAGGGCAGGTGGGGAACATGTCAGGGAGCAGCGGGGTAAGGGGGAGCAGGTTAGGGTGAAGGTTCGGGGGAGGAAATGGGAGAGGGAAAATGGGATGGGGGAGAAGGGAGGGACCGACTAGAAGGGGGGGAGTGGGGAGGGGAGTCAAGAGCCTGGGTGGACAGGGCATGGGGTGGGGGTGGGGGGCGGCTAGGATAGTCCGGGGAAGCAAACGTCCTCTTCCCTGAGCTTCAGTACGTCCCGTTTCAAAAGGGGTCTACCCACCGAAACCAGGACTGCGGGTGAATGATCAACACCGCCCGGCGCCGGCTAGGGCCCCCCACATCCCCGTACTGGTGGGCGCGTACGGGCCAGAGGGCCCTGAAAGGTGAACTCGTTGGTCCCAGCGCGTAGTGAAGACAGCCCAGGACCGCCTACTAGGCAAGGGCCGGGGCCAGCCTCCGTGCCCAGGAGGCCGCGGAGACCGCGCACACCCCGGGCGCTCGACCCGCTTCCGGTCAGCCCCCAACAAAGGCTCAGGTGAGGGGTCGCTCCGGAGCGCACCGGGCCGGGTCGGCCCGAGCTCACAACGCACGCGCGCAGGTACGGCTGGGCCCAGCTCCCAGCCGGGTCCGGGCAGTCTAGGTGCCGGCTCCCGGGCGACAGCACCTGCCCGCCGCCCGCACCTGCCGCCCGCCGGCACCTGCGCACCTGCCGCCGCCCCCGCCCGCCCGCACCTGCCCCCCAGGCCCACTCACCTCGGCCCGCCCCGGCCCCTCGCCGCCGCGGCCCCCAGCCCGCGCTGCTCCATGCACTCAGCCCGCCCTCCGTGCCGCCAGCGGCCCCGGGGTCGCAGCCGCCCGCGCCATCGCGCCGCCGCCCGCTCGGAGGGCACAATGGAGCCTCCGCGCGCCGTTCATGCATATGCATGACGCCGTGCCGCCGGCCCCGCCCCCAGGCCAGAGCAGTAGAGCCCCGAGCCGCCGCTTCGGGCGGCAGCGCCTGCCACCCTGCGCGGGCCGGGCTGGGGCGCTGGGGTCCGGGAGGGTGGGGTGGGCGGCTGCGCGGGCTGGGGGCGACCTGCACCCCATCCCCTCGCCCCTGCACACCTTTCGGAACGCGGCGTTGGCGTAGCCACCTGCGCTTCCTGCTCGCTCTCCGCCGGGCGGGGCTGGGGGCGCGGCCTGGGCGGGGGGGGCGGGCCGGGCGGGGTGGGCGCGCCACTTCTGGGAGGGGGTTTTGTGGAGAAAACCACCCTGAACAAAACAAGTCACTTCCCTCCCTGCTCTTCTAGCTTCGCAGAGCCGCCCCCATTAAAGCTCTTACCGTCGCTGTCGGCTTACAGCCAGATGAAGCGGCCTCTCTGATCAGATGGCACCTTTCAAAAGCTATTGTCACCCTTTAAGCTAGGCTTCTTCCCACCTCCGTTTAGGAACACCACATTCTCTGATTATTCACTTTTTTAAATTGTGATAAAACACTTAATATTTACCATTTCAATAATTTCTCAGGGTCCCGCTGAGTGGCACTAAATACATTCACGCGGATGTGCAGCCATCACCACCATCGAAATCCACAGTTTTTCATCTATTAAACTAACTCCCTCCTGGCAACCATCCTTTTACTTTCTGTCTATGAATTTGACTACTCTAAGTACCTCCTATGAGTAGAATCATACAGTATTTGTCTTTTTCATAGCTGATTTAGTTCATTTAGCTTCGATGTTATGGCGCCTTTCAGAATTTCCTTCTTTTTAAGGCTGAATAATAATCCATTTTATGGATAGACCCTATTTTGGTCTATCCATTTTGTAGGGTAAATGATTTTCAGTCTTTTCTGCCCTCCTACTATTAGGATTGCCCTGCCTGATGGGGCACCTACATTTGTTACATTGTTATAAGTTGCGTTGTTTACTTCTGTGGGCCATGACTGCAGTTTTGATATATTCTCCAAGAGAAACAGAGGCAGGAGACAGAGGCAAGAGAGGCAGGAGGGAGAAGGGGAGAAAGAAGCCCAGAGTGAAGACTTGCGGGAGGCTTGGAGGCCTCCTGGCCTCCTTCCCCCACCCTCCCAACCCCTGCCTGCCGTGTACCTGGTTGCTGCACTACATGTAAAAGCTCATAAAAGCACGAGCAAGCCGGGCTTCCCCGGGGGCCCGGTGGTTGAGCGCTGGATTGCGAGGCTGCCTGCAGCCTCTGTAGCGCCAGTTTGATCCCCGGCTGCTGGGCGAGGATCCCACATGGCACGCAGACCTCTCCTGCTGCCCGCTGCTCCCCTCAGCAGTGTACTTCGTCGGTCTGCCTGCTCTGTTCCCCGCACTGGCTCTGGTGAATTCTCTCTCCCTCCTGCGCTTCTGACTGTACCCAGTGCTTGCATAAATAATTAAATCTTAAAAAAAAAAAAAAAGGAGGCATGAGCAAGCCACCGAGGGCTCCAGGACTCCTCCTTTACCTGGTCTGCATAGGATCACAGAAAACCAGCTCTGTGCCTTCCTGGTGCTACACATTTATTGGTCAATGAATGCGCTACAATTAAATTCTAATATTGCTACGATTTCTTCCTTCAAGGTTGTCTGAACCCTATGTTCTGTTTTGCTCCAGAACCATTAATTTATTGAACTGTATGGCAGGCCTGCTATGTGCCTGGGATGGTATGGGCTCTGAACATTCGTCTGTCTCCAATGACTGCAACATAAGGCCTGTAGAGAAGAGAGAGGTCTTACTTTACTCACCAGGTAGCAATGTGTCTATCAGGACAAGTTGGGAAGAAAAGTAAAGCAGGACTAGAGGGTAGGGAACAATAGGCAGTGAGGGAAGGATTCCCTGGAGAGCTAGCCCTGCAGAAGTGGGGGTGGGAGGCATTACTGGACTCTGACCCTCTTTTTTTTTTTTTTTTAAAGAAGCAGAACAGGCAGATTGACTGAAATACACTGCTGAATAAGCAGCAGGTGAGACAGGAGAGGTCTGCTGCGCCACGTGGGTTAGCTCCCTGGTCGGGGATTGAACTTGTTCTACTTTGGTTGTCAATAGCTTCATAGCGCTGCGTCTTAACCCCTTGTCCTACCAGGGAGGCCCCTGACCCTCTTCTACCTCCAGGAGCCAATAGTTTGGGGTAGCTGTAGGCAGAGTCACATAGGAGGCCAGAAACTGCCACACCTAGTTGTCAAGTCAACGCAGCAGGTAGCCCTGCCCCTCAGTGCAAGGCCTGCCCCAGTTCTCCTAGGAGACACCATTTAGCGCCTGCTCCCTTCTAGACAGTGTTTTCATCTTTGACTATATGGATTATTAGAAAAGTATTGCTTAATTTCCAAAAAAAGATTGCCCTCACGAAACCTTCCTTTAAAGTTGAGTACATGAGGGGCCTCCCTGGTGGCACAACAGGTTAAGCACAGCACAGTGAAGCAATCTGTAGCCTCTGCAATAAGAGTTTGATCCCCGGCTGGCCAGGGAGCTATCCACATGGTGCAGCAGACCTCTCCTATCTTGCCTGCTGCTCCCCTCAGCAGTGTGTTTCAGTTAGTCTGCTGTTCTGTTCCCCACTGTATATGGTGAATTCTCTCACCTCCCTCACCTCTGGCCTGTACCCCAGTTCTTGTATGCACATATAAATAAATCTTTAAAAAATAAATAAATAAATGAGAAGCTCATCAAGTATTGGAAGAAACTTCTCATTCCTTTTGGATGTTCTGTCAGAAAGAATAAAAATGCCCAGTTCAACATGATTGTGAGAAGTCATACTGGTGGGCCACTCTCATTTAGATGCACACAGGTTAGAAAAAATGTAACATGGGGCCTCCCTGGTGGTGCAAGAGGTTAAGCACAACACTGCAAAGCTATACGTAGCCTCTTCATCAAGAGTTCTATTCCCAGCCGGCCAAGGAGCAACCCACATGGCGCAGCAGACCTCCCCTTTCTCACTTGCTGTTCCCCTCAGCAGTTTATTTCAGTCAGTCTGCCTGTTCTGTTCCCCACTCTGTCTCTGGTGAATCCTCTCCCCCCCACACACACACTTCTGGCCTGTACCCCAGTTCTTGTATGCATAAATAAATGAATCTTTAAAAAAATTAAAATGTAACACAAAGAAGGTATACGACATGCCAAATTTGCCTGCCTAGCACAGCACCTTGGGGCTTTTGTGAATTTAGTCTCTCTCTTGCAGGTGATGTGGCCTAAATTTGATTTTTAACTGGGACCCCCACTTAATATGAGTGACTTAAGTGATACAGGGCAGCAAGGAGCACTAAAACTGGCCAAGGACAGTGCCCAAATAGTTTATCGGTACAAATAGTTTATACTTGTGCACACAACTGCAAGACTACTCAGGTTCAGAGAACAACAATAATGGGACTTATTTAACAAACCAGGGAAAAACAAAGAGTCACTGAGGCCAGAAATGGCCACTTACCTCACCTGGAGCAGTGTCCAGTGTTTTAAAGTCCTAAACACAAACGCTCCCAAGATGGCATCCTCCTGCCACTGAGGACCTGGAGCACGCGGCAGCCCAATTATAAACTGGGATCCAACTCATGAAGACAGCAGAAGATACAACAGGAGATGCTCACTGGAGCTGCCAAGATGTGCCAGTACAGCACCAGACAAGTGACACTCAAAACAGCAGCTGCAGCAGCCAAACTGTTATAGGACAGCCCCGATATTGAACGGGTTCCTGGCTGTGGGTCCTCACCTGCGCGCTTAAAAAGGAGTTATTAATACTCCACTACAGGCACACACAAAAGGTTAATAAAAGGTTTATTTACAAGGGAAAAGGAAATAAGGAAAATGTACAACTCAGGGAGAAAACAGGGAAATAAAGTCTTTAATGCGTCCTACCCGATCCGCCGACCTGGAAACCCAAAGTCACTCTCAGAGCTGGCCGGACGCTGCTAGCTGGTGGAGAGCCAAAATGGGGGACCCCCCCAAAGCCCACGTGTCTGCCTTTATATCAACCTGGCTGCTTAACCCCACCCTCAGGTCCCAGCCACCTTCCCTTTGGTGGTGATGGGATTTGGAGATCCCAGTGTCTTTTGGCTTTGGCCTGGGGTGGGGGTGGAGTCCACAAAGCCTGTATGGAATTAGCTTTAGGACATCCTTTTCCCCCTAATAAAACTACTCCACAAACGGCCACACTTATGTAGCTCAGGGAGGCGCCAGGCTCTGGGTCTTCACCT